GGAAGGATCGCTGGAGCCCAGCAGGTCGAGGCTGCGGTGGCCGGGAGTGTGCCACTGCCCTCCAACCTGGGCGACAGAGTGAGACTCCAACTCAAAAAAAATAGGCCTACATAGAATTATCGGCTCTGTTATTTAGAACTAGCAATTTGCTCACCACATTGCCAGAGTTAGTAAGAACTTTTTTTATTTTTTAATTTTTATATTATGGTAAAGCCAGAACTGAAAATTGACTGCCACACATTTTTAGTCATATGTTGCTTTGCCTATACCGGCTTAAAATAAGTTTGAGCCAACACTGTAATGTATGGAGATTTCCATATAACTCTTCAGACTCTTGGTCTCTTAAGATAAACAGCGTGATCCAACAACCGGGAACTGCGTCCTGGTTAGAACATTGTGGTGGCTGCAGCCCTCTCCAGGAGGCGCCTGTGCTGTGCAGCCAGCTGGCCCCACTGCCCTGCCCTGCCCCACTGTCCTGCCCCACCAGCACTGCTAGGCTGCTGCCGTGGCCTGTGTGACTGTGAGCTTATGTCCCTGCTGTAAAGAAACATGTTCACATGTGGGAGGTTTGGAAGGTGCAGGCATGTATGTGTGTGAAATTACCTATAATCTGACTCCCACAGCAAACCTCTGTTAATACTTCAGTGTAATTTATTCATGTCTGCATGTGTATGTATGCATATATGCATGTATTTCTTTTTAAAGCATCTTTGTTGCAGTGTAACTGATATAGAATAAACTGGACATAAAGTGTACAGTTTTGTAAGTTTTAAAATTGCCATCATCATAATCATCATCATCATCAAGATAATGAATCTGTCCATCCTCTCAGTCCCCTTGGTTACACTTTCCCCTCCTCTGGTCCTTGTAACTGGACCCCATCACCAAGAAACCACTGAACTATTTTCTGTCATAGAGTAGTTTGCATTTTCTAGAATTTTGTGTATGTATGGCATTTTTCTTTTAGTTTTTGAGATTATACAGTTTTGCAGTTTCTACTTTTTACTTGGCATAACTTTGAAGAGTAGTGAAATTGCACTTTTTCTTATGTTTATTGTTGTTTGTATTTCTTTAATGAGTTGTCTTTTGTTTTTCACTATTTTACTGGTGTTTTAGTGTTTTTCTTGGCTTGTATGAGCTCTTCATTTGTTGATATGTTTTCATCATTGTTACAGATCTTCCCCAATTGTATTGCTTTCCTTTATAGTTTTAAGTTATTTTAGACATACAGAAGTTTTATTGTGTCTACATAATCAAGTTTTCAACATTTTTCTTTGTGAGGCAAGACATGTGAGCAGGTTAGGAAGTATAAATTACTTTATTCTATTTTTGATGGCCTTTCCACTCTGAAAGTTTGGATGTGGTGGAGTTTGGGGAGGGACAGTATTGCATGTGACTATACTAACAATGCATTTTCTCTTGAGTTGTTAATTGACAAACATTGCTGGTAACTTGCTGAGCATTTGCCGTTTTTGTTGTCAAACATGCTAGTAATGAGGGTTGCAGAAACTAGTAGGTTTGAGTAGCTGTGCCTGGGTTTCTCTTGCTGGTGTTGCAGATAGAGATTTAAGTTTGCACTTGTTTTCTGTTTTCTTTTAGATCGCTTAGCTTGGAGGAGGTGCTGCAGTACTGCCTCACTGCATAAGGGATGGGATCGGAGAACAGCGCTTTAAAGAGCTACTCCCTGAAAGAACCAGCATTTACCTTACCCTCTGGGCTTGCTGTCTATCCTGCTGTACTGCAAGATGGCAAATTTGCTTCCGTTTTTGTGTATAAGAGAGAAAATGAAGACAAGGTTAATAAAGCTGCCAAGGTACCATAATAGGTGATGACTTCATAGTTAGTACTTTGTACTGTTTTGTTTTCTATTAAAAAACATAAAATGAATAGAGGTCAAAAAGGTAAGGCCATAAGAACTACTGTTTTTTTGGTTTTGACTCAGAGTCTCAGTCGCCCAGGTTGGAGTGCAGTGGCATGCTCACAGCCACTGTAACCTTGACCTGCTGGGCTCAGGCGATCCTTCACCTCAGCCTCCCTAGTAGCTGGAGCTGTAGGTGTGCACCACCAAGCCCGGCTAAGTTTTTGATTTATTGTAAAGATGAGGTCTTGCCAAGTTGCCCCGGTTGGTCTCGAACCCCTGGGCTCAGGCAATCCTCTCGCTTCCACCTCCCAAAGTGCTGAGATTACAGGCGTGAGTCACTGCACCTGGCCTAGAACTAGTATTTTTTTCATTCATGTCCTTTAAAAACATAGTTGTTCTTTATGGCACCTGTCTTCAACTTGCATGACATGGTCGGGTATCATGGCTGTAGCCAAAGTGTCTTAAAACTCAGTGTAATGACATGTATCATCAAAGTTTTTCATTTTTTAAATGAGAGTTAAGGAAACAGTTTTACATGGCTAATATAAGACAAGTTAATCTAGCTTAGCAAAAATGCTGTTCAATATTGCCAGCATTTTAATTAGTGTGTTGATGATGGGCTTAGAAAGGAAGTATTTTAGGAACTTGACTATTTTTTTCTTTTCCTGAGTCGTCCTGATGCCCCAGAGAGAATGTTGGACTAGAATGCTGGACTGCGTGCGCCACAGAAGTCTTGAATTCAGGCTCTTGTTCTTGTTGCAGGACCTTAGGTCATGATCTCTGGGAGGTTTCCTCCATAGGAAAAGGTTTCTCTTGCTCACACCTATAACTGCTCCTTCCTGCAGAGGGTACCAGCATATAGCATGCTGTCTGGTGCACTGTCAGGGGACCTTGACCTTTTATTTAAAAAGATTATCTTATGGAATGTAATTCAGTAAAACAACCCAAGTGTTTTTTTTGAATTAGAGAAATGAAAGCATTAGTTATTTCTTTGGCTAGCTAGCTAGCACTTTGGATATTCAGCCATTCAGATGGATCATCTTCTAAAAAGGAAAATTTAGTTGTATTAGTTAATTCTTCAGTGTTTGCTTTGGTTGAATTTGATATGTTAATTTTGTTAAAATTATGATCTATATTATTACCTTGAGTCCCTTTGTAATATTAGCAGGTATGGGACATTGATATCTATTTCATGGGCTCTTTAAATAATTTTTACTTTGAAAAATAATTGTAAAGGGTTTTATTAATTATACAATTTTGGTATTGTATTGGTCACGCCAGTTAATTATTTGATGGTATATGGTATATCTTTTTTTTCTTTTTTCTTTTTTTTGAGTTGGAGTCTCACTCTCTTGCCCAGACTGGAGTATAGTGGCATGATCACAAGTCATCACAACCTTGACCTCCTGGGCTCAGGTGATCCTTTTGCCTCAGCCTTCTGAGTAGCTGGGACTATGGGCACCAGCTACTGACACCACACCCAGCTAATTTTTTTTTACTTTCTGTAGAGAATAGGCCTCACTGTGTTGCCCAGGCTGGTCTCAAACTCCTGGGCTCAAGTAGTCCTCCTGCCTTGGCCTCCCATAGTGCTGTGATTATAGGTGTGATCTACCGCACCCAGCTGATGTTGTGTTTTTGATTATGCATAGTTATAAGACGGTTCCTAAGGAAAAAGACATATGTAACAATTCTGTCAAGATGCATTTTCTAGTCATGCATTGTGGTAAAAAGTGTATCTGGCTGGTTTATTACTAGATAATTTTGCTTTTTGGTAAAACCACATTTTTAATCTCTTTTCTCACTTCATTGTTAATTTCTTTTTTTTTTTTTTGAGTTGGAGTCTCACTCTGTTGCCCAGACTGGAGTGCAGTGGCCACTCCCAGCCACCGCAGCCTCGACCTGCTGGGCTCCGGCAATCCTTCCGCCTCAGCCTTCCAAGTAGCCGGAATTACAGGCATGCGCTACCATGCCCGGCTGATTTTTTTCATTTATTGTAGAGATGAGGTCTTGCTGCCCAGGCAGGTCTTGAACCCACGGGCTCAGGCAATCCACTCACCTCAGCCTCCCAAAGGTGCGATTACAGGCTGAGCCACTGAGCCCGGCTCATTGTTAATTTCTTATTGCGATTTTACTAAAGACAAAATCCCTTGCTTTACTGTCTTATTCTCACATACCTCCTGTTATTTGCATCTTATAAAATTGTGCATATTGTTTTTTATAATAACTTAGTAACTATTGTTAGTGAGGTACTAGAGATTTATAATCTTAGATTTTTGTGGGGTTTTTTTTTTTGAGGCTATAAGATTTTTTTTTTAATTATATTACCCTTTATGGCTCATGTACCAAGAAAGCTAAATAACCCAGATCATCAAGTTTTTTTTTCTTCGGATTATAAAATATAGTTTATTTAAAAGGTAAATTAGAGAGAGAGAAAGAGGAGATTCACCTCCCCAAGGTAGGGGAGGGGGCCAAAGCTTAAGAAAACATGACCATCATCAAGTTTTTAAAGGGGAAAAAAAAAAAAAAAACACAAAGATCCACTCACGGTGTTTGAGGATTTCTGAGCTGTAGGAATTGCGAAGCTTGAGGAAGAATTTTTTTCCCCCTTAGTATCCAGAGGAAACCTTTTAAGCCATGACTGAGTATTTGAAAATAGATAGTCCTTGTCTCCTCTTCAACTGTGTTGTGGCTTTGAATCTACAAGCTGGAATCTGGGAGATTTGAAATGGCAACAAAGTGATAAAGGGTTTAGGTTCTCAGAATGTTTCTGATCATCTCAAAAACTAGGTCATAGGACTTAGAAATGTAGGACTTATTTGATGCCTTAGATTTTAGGAATTTGATATCCTAGGTATACGAAATACTGAAACAATGTAGTTAACTTGCCTAACTTTCTCTAGAGTTTGGATTCCTGATCTTACCTTTGATAGTTTTAATGACCATTTCAAGCGGATATATAGTGTTTCTTTGGCAGATATTGTATAATGACTATACTCGTCCTGTACTGTTAAAAGTAAAGGGTAACCATCACAGTATTCTGTGAGGCCCATGAGAATAAAATGAAATACAGGTATAAGCTCTGGCCACAAAACAAGAGAAATACTAGATCCATCAGTCTATCTCATTTTATCTTGAATTCATCAGCGGTAATTATTGGTATAATGTGTTCACTGGTGATTATGACTCATCTCTAACTACTAGTCTTTAAGTAATAGTAAATCCTAAGTCAGAATTTTGTTACTATAGTTTACTGTAAACTAAGGGCTTATTCGGAGTTCATGGTAAGCTTACAAAAATGATTCCTGTCAGGAATCATATGGGATTCTAGGAATAGTATAAAGATTCTATATGGTGTTCTGTTTCGTATTCAGGGAGGCATTATGGTCTTCTTCATGGTAGATTCAGGCTGTTTTGTGAAAGGGTTGGTGAGCATAGTTGAGAACCCACATTATGTGGCAAGATAAAGAAATGGAAGAGATGACTGCTGTGCTCAAAGGAGCCTCCAGCATATATGTATACATGTATATTTTGTACTTTATATTATATATGTATGTATAAGGTACTTATGTGATGTTTTTACTGTTAAGATGTGTGAACAAAAAACTTTGGTAATCACTTCTAGATAATGAAAATAAAGCTTGAAAAATGTTTAAATATTTTAAGGGGATTAAATAATAAATAAAAAGTAAGAAGCCAAGATAAACAAAGTTAAAATGTTTTGTAAATGTATTTTACATGCATTGATGATATACGGCAGGGGTGGGTGATCTTAGGCCTGGGATAAGCTAGAATGGATTTTACATTTTTAGAGGGCTATTAAATAGAAAGAAAAAAAAAAGGAGAGAATAGGCCGCAGAGACCATGTAGCCTTCAAAGGCAAATATTTACTGTCTGATCCTTCACAGGAAGTGTTTGCTAACTGCTGGTCTATGAGGTGCATGCATTAGGATAAGTTTAAAGTACTAATTCATGCAACATTGGTGGCTCAGTCTGTGATTTTAGTTTTGTGAATTGAAAAGAATATGTTTTGCAGTTGTTGGGTGTAGTGTTTTCTAAATTTAATTAGATCAAGATCGTTGACATTATCATGCTTCCTGTATTTTCATTATCTTTTGTGGAGAGGAGGATAGTTCTATTGAATGCTGAGAGAAAGACATTAATGACTCCAATTGTAGTTGTGGGATTGTCCATCTCTTCCCTTCACGTTGCCAGTTCTTGTTTCATGTGTATTCTGGCTCTGCTGTTATGCATATGCACATTTATGATTATGTCTTTTTAATAAGTTTTCTCTCTTTTTTTCTTAATTTTTTTATTTTAAAGATGTGGGGTACAAATCAGGTTAGGTATACAACTATTGATTGTGCAGGTACCCTTGTTGATGAGGTGTGCCCCTCCCTTTTCTGGCATTTTCCCTCAACTGTCAATCCCAACCCCCACCCGTTGGCAGTTTTCCACTACTGCCAATCCCTTTCTTATAGTATTATGATAATTGTTCAAGGTCTGCTTATGAGTGAAAACATATGGTACTCTGTTCTTTGTTTCTGTGATAGAGCACTAGTATGGTAGACTCTAAATCCATCCAAGTTGCTGCAAAGTCCGTATGTTTATCCTCCTTTATGGCTGCATAATATTCCATTGTGTATATATACCACATTTTTTTATCCAGTCCAGCTTTGATAGGCAACATGGTTGGTTCCATGTTTTTGCTATTGTGAATAGAGCTGCAACAAACATGCATGTACAGGTATTTTTATGGTAGAATGACTTTGAGCTCCTCCGGGTATATTCTCAATAGGGGGATTGCTGGGTCATATGGAAGATCAATTTCTAGTTTTTTCAGAAATCGCCACACTATCTTCCAAAGCATTTGCACTAGTTTTCATTCCCACCAGTGGTGTAGAAGTGTTCCTTTTTCTCTGCATCTTTGCCAGCTTCTGTTGTTTGTTTTATTA